AAAAAAAAAAAAAAAAAAGGAGACCAGAGGCAAGCTTAATGAACAAGTTGTCACGAAGATTAATTTCTAGCTATCTATTTGCACACTAGAGTTTCACAGCTCTTCTTTGAACCTTGGTCTGCCTGAGAGAAAGTTCCACGTTTCCATCTGATGTTACTCTTCCTTTCTAGAAACAAGCCAACGACCTTGTGAGCACCCTGATGAAATGTACACCTCACTACATCCGCTGCATAAAACCAAATGAAACCAAGAAGCCCAGAGACTGGGAGGAAAGCAGGTATGGTCAAGATGGCAGACCGGGGGGCGGGTGAGCCCCGCACATGTTCCCTCTGCTCAAGATGGGCTACCCAATGCCAAGGGCAGAAGCAGTTTAAATTGCTTTCAGATGTGTTTCACGTCCTGTGTCTTAACTTTTTCATGGTGAACAGGGCCTTTTCTTCCCCCCTCCTCGTCTTTTCCTAAAATGTTAGCAGTGCCATTCAGTTCAGAATTAGCAATTTATAATGTTGATCTTGGCTAGTCTGGGGACAGACGGGGGAAAAAAAAAAGCCTTAATCCTGCAGAGTCAGGATGGTTTTAAAATTAGTTTGAGGCCCTGTGTAGACATTCTTAGTCCACTTAGCTCCCCATTGGTACCCACAGGATGGGGCCTAGCATGCTCTCAGCTCAGGGTTCAGAGTCAAGGTCTAAAGAGCTGGTTATAAAGCAATCTGTCATTTACTGCTGCTCTTGGGGATGCTGGGGGCATGTGCTAGGTTCGGTACCTGCCCCTGAGGACTGACTGTGTTCATGAGCAGAGTGATGACTCCCTCTGGGAGGGCACAAGCCCCAGGGAGGTGTGTGATATATGGCATGCAACGAGCCCTCTCCCCTCTGACCCCTGAGGAATCCTGGGCCCCCATTCCTCCTACAGCAGGCATTTGGGGATGTGGACTCTGCAGGCTAGAATGGAGGTGTTGAGTGGGAAAATGTTACAGATGACTAGAAAATACAGTTTTATCCAATGGGGGAGGGGATCCAGACCCACACTCCTAAGAGGCCCGACCCCACCATCCATGGGCACACAGGAAGCAGGACTGAGGCAAGACGTTACGGTGACTGGATAGGAGGGAGGAGCCCGCCATGGTCACCGGACAGTCAGGTCCCTGGACAGGAGCATACAGAATTCCTATCTTTTCTTCTCTCTCTTGGAGAAAAGTAGATAGACTTAGGTATCCAGTGATGTATCAAGGTTGAGCTCCACAACGGCAAGACCAGGGGGACAGTCATGGCTGCTAGCCTCCCTCTCTGAGAGTCGTGGGTAGGTCTGTTCCCATCCTGCCAGTGAGAGCCTTTCTAAGCATGGCAGGCAGACAAGACCTGGTCCGTTATAAGAGGGACAAGATGAGTGGTGAGGAAAGTGCCCAGGCCCCAGCATTCACTGTCAGTCCTTGTTTGTGTTTTCCCGCTTCATGTGCAGCCCGAGTCTGTTTTCTCCCCTCACGCGGCTGCGGGATATAGCAGTCTTCCGTTTCATCAGTCTGCGATATTCTGAGGAATCTCGTCCATAGAGGCATGCTCCTCAGGCGTCCTTTCTATTGAACGGCTGACCCTGATTCCTCTTAAACGTGATCGGGTAACGATATGGAGGCTCCGATGAGGGACCCTCTCCCCCTAGCTGACCAGTCCAGCTTCCGATGGCTCTTGTATTATTAGCAGGCTCTACAGTCTTTCTCTATGTTGGTGTGACCCTGATCCAACATCTCTGATCTGCTCTACGAATTGACTTTTCCATCTGACAGCTCCTGTGTTCATTCCCAGCAGTCGTCCCGTTTCGCTGCAATCTCCACTCCCACTGCAGTTCCTCTGAAGGCACTGGATGTGGAATCTGACCATCCCCCTTCTTGGTCATTCCCCTGGATGTACTTAATTTGCCTTCTGCTTTTTTGAAACGTGTCACTCAGTTTCTCCTTTGAGTCTAAGAGGGTAGCAGCACTGTCACCTCTTCCCACCTGAAGATAGAAAATGTCTATTGTTTGGTTGGTTGGTTATTTATTTTGCCTTCCTACACTAGTTCTCAAGCTTGTGGATGCACCAGAGTATCCCTTAGAGGGCTTGTGAAAACTCAGGTTGCTGGGCCCCGCTTCCAGAGATTCTGATTCGGTGGGCCTAGGTGGGGCCCAGGAATGTGCATTTTTTAAAATATTTATTAGCGAGAGAGCGCGTGAGCATGAGTGGGGGGAGGGGCAGAGGGACAAGCAGACTCCCTGCTGAGCAAGGAGCCCAACGCAGGGCTCTATCCCAGGACCCCGGGATCATGACCTGAGCTGAAGGCAGTCGCTTAACCAACTGAGCCACCCAGGCGCCCTGGACTCATTGACTTTTAATGTCCTTTCCAACCTTTAGATTAAGATATTAGAGGTCTTCTAGTTCAATCCACTTAGTTTACAGATGGGGAAACTGAGGCCCAGAGAAATTTAGTGATTTGTCATGTAGTTTGCAAAGAGTAGAGGCAGAACCCCAGCCTGGTCTTGCTAGTAATCTGTGTTGAAGGTAGAATAGGAGCCTTCACCCTGAGCCTTTTCTCGCTGTCCTGTCTGCATCTTTTGCCTTATACTTCTGCTGAGCCAGTGCCTCTGGTAGACTTCTGTCGTAACTCCTGGACTGTTCTGGTCTAGAGTCCGGAGAAATCCAGTTGCTGCTTCCCAACCACCTCAGGAGACCTCTAAGGTTGACCCATAGCTGAATTCAGGATAATTTCGATGGTCGAGGTGTATTCCTATTTGCCAAAATGAATTTTCCCACAACCTCAAGGCTTTATCTACTCCTCACTCACTATGTTAATTCCTCTTATATCACACCAAACTATCTCCTGTCTTCCCTAGGAAGGCAGGATAGCCTTGTGTTTAAGGAACAGACTTGGTAGGCTGCACACTTGAGTTCAAGCCTCAGCGCTTGTCACTAAGTGCGTACTTTATGGTGACATTTCCTTGTCTAAAAAAATCAGAATCATAATAATAATAGTAGCTATCGCTTAGAATCGTGAGGCAGAAATGAGAAGGTCCGTGTGTCTAGCCCCTGGTGCACATTCAGTAAATGTCATCTGTTACTACTTGGAGCTAAGGAGACCCATGTCAGTTGGCAGGTCACTCAGGTCACATTTGCCCCTCTGTGTGTTCACACTGAGGTGAAAAGGTGTGCTGTTAAAAGCTTAGGCCTGAAGAGTCTGCCAAGTTATTCTTGGGAATTAAAAAGGTTTGATAAAATTAAAATATAAAAAAATAAAAACAAGTTTGGAGACTTAAAAAGAAACTGTCCAGCTCCACCTTCTGTGTTGCAAAGATCATCAGATTTGTTCTCAGATACAATTGACGTCAACAGAGGAGATGGAAGTCCATTTCCTTTTTCACTATAGGGCTTTGCTTTGGCCGTGCAACCTCCACAGCTTTGTCCTTGCCTCTAAGCATTGCAACACATGTTATATCCTGCACTTGTAAACAGAGAACATAACTCACCAGGGACCCTCTTGCTTTGAATATACTCAAGAGTTTTTCTCAAGGGTTTCAGATTTCCCAAACCCATGACAACAGCAAAGCCCTAATTGCAAGAGGACTGTCTACTGCATGCAGATCTCTTCTGCTGACTTGGTCATGGTTTCCTGGCTTTCGAGATCCCTTCTCTGTTGTCCTTTAGACGTTTTCTCTCTTCACACTGATTTGCTCGGTAGGAGAGTTTGTGTGGGCCTCCTCCTTGGCCCCACAAAGGCTCAGCTGTGTGGTGGTGGGAATGCTGACGTGGGCCGTGCTCTTTCTTCTGAGTTGGAGATGTTCATGATTTGAAATGCATCATAAGCAATTCCAGCTTTATTTATGTGGCTTTCTCTGCTTGAGCCCAGTTTCCTTTTGGGTACCCAGTACGCAGGTAGTAAGAGATGATTTCATATTGAGTATTTGGTGAAGGAGCAGGTTACCTACCACTCAGAAAGCAGATTTGTAAAAGGACATGCTGAGGAAGGTGAATGAAGTGAGATTTTTTTTTTTTTAAAGATTTTATTTATTTGGCAGAGAGAGACACAGTGAGAGAGGGAACACAAGCAGGGGGAGTGGGAAGGGAAAAGCAGGCTTCCCACCGAGCAGGGAGCCCGATGTGGTGCTCGATCCCAGGACCCTGGGATCATGACCTGAGCCGAAGGCAGACGCTTAATGACTGAGCCACCCAGGCGCCCCTGAAGTGAGAATTTTGATGTATCTCCCACTCTTTATGAATTTCCATCATTTTAATACAGTGATTCTTCATTGGTTGGATTGCCCAGAAAGAGAGAGTACAGGGGCCTTTGATGCTTTATCCTTGCAAATAATTTCTCTTCCCTGCCCCACCCTTGCACCAAAAAAAAGTTTATGAGAACAATGTGTTTGCAAAGGCCCTCAATCAGTATAAACTTAATTTGTTAATAACTGGCATGCTTCCTTGTTTCTCATGAAAAGAACTGTATGTGAAGATTTACTGGTTTTGTTGTTTTGCTTTATTTTATTAACTATACTAAAAAGACCTGGTTGTTTTTTCAAAATCTAATTTCAGATCCGTGTGTAAGTGTTAAAATCATAAAAGTCAGTAGAGCCTTTAGAAAGAAAGTAGACCAGGGGCACCTGGGTGGCTCAGTTGTTAAGCATCTGCCTTCGGCTCGGGTCATGATCTCAGGGTCCTGGGATCGAGCCCCACATCGGGCTCCCTGCTCAGCGGGAAGCCTGCTTCTCCCTCTCCCACTCCCCCTGCTTGT